CTGCTACCCCTGTATCCCCCCTTGCGCGGCCTTTTTGACCATTCCACTAATCCCTTCCCACATCTGCTTGACGTTCCCCTCCAGGCCTCCGTTGGCCTTCTGCACTACCTCGTCCCAAATACACTTTTTCTTCTTTCTCACTAGTCCCTTCACCTGTTTTCTCTTGGCCCTGTACTTTTCCCAACTCTCCTCAGACGCCTCACTCAGGTACTGCTTGAAGACTTCTCTACGTTCCCCTATTTCTTCTTTCAGCTCGTCATCCCACCACTTAACCGATACCCCACATCGTACCACCTTCCTTCCCACTACTCTCTCTGCCGTTGCGTTCACGATGGACTCCCACCCTTCAATCACCCTGTCCCCTGCTGCCTGTACGTCTACCTGTCCGTCTTCGACGCTTCTCAGCAGTTTCCTGAAGGATTCTACACTACCAGCCAGCCCCTTCTGGAATTCATCCCGTGGCCCCTCGTCTCCCAATCGCGCTACTTTCCACCGGAACACGTTCCTCTGTTTCTTACTCTCCATCTGTCTAGATCGGTCGATGTTTGCCCATATGAGGAAGTGGTCGGTCGAAAGTCTATCTATCGCACTTGCGTGCAGCTCTGGGATCTGCGTGCTCCCCCTATCTACCAGGATGTAGTCGAGGATTGAGTATTCATTGCAAACTGCCCGTTGCCTAGTGAACTCCGGCTTATCGTATTCCCTCCTACCGTTCAACACCATCACTTCGTTGCTTCCCAAGAATTCAAGCATCCTCACTCCGTTGTCATTCACTTTGTCTTCTCCGTGCTGCCCGATCGCCTGTCCTCTACTGGAAGCTTTCCCTACTCTGGAGTTGAAATCGCCCACCATGACAACTTCTCCCTTCCTACTGAACCTCTGGACATCTTCCCCAATTTGTCCAAAGTTCTCCTGCGCCTTCCTTGCAACTTTCTTCGACGACGGTGGGACGTACACGTTCCCTAAAAACAAATATTTCTCACCCCGCTCCCCAGGTATCTTACGCCATAGGCTTTCCTCGAACCCCGTTTTCACCATTGCTTCCACCACGCCAAACAAGTGTTCCTTGACCAGGAATCCGACTCCCCCCTCCCCCCTTTTCTTCGGGTCTAAGCCCTTTCTTGCCTTCCCTACCCACCGGTATTTCCCTAGTTTGCTTACCACGTCACCATCCTTCAATTCCCACGTCTCTTGGATCCCCACTACATCTAGATCGCTTTGTTCTACTTGGTCCACTATTTCCAACCGCTTGCGCTCACTCCTTGCGAACCCGCACACGTTCCACGACCCGACTCTCAGCTTGCGCTTTTCCCTATTGGAGATTTTGCGCACACCATCGTTCGCCTTCCGCTGCTTCTCGGACTTCTTCTGACTTGCTTGCTCGACTGCCCTGCTCGGTCCTTTCTTCGCCTCCGTCGCCCTCGCCTCTTGTCTTCTCACGTTCTATATTTCTATCATGTTCGTGATGCAATCCCTCCATCCAAACTTCCTTACGTAGTTCGACAGCTTCTCGACGCCAACCCCCAAGCACTCTTGGCTGTCTCCCTTGGTTAATTTCACCCGGAAGTGTTCATGTTCTCTGCCTACTTGTCCCCTTGCTAGGCAGTGCAGTCCCTCCCTGTCACAACAGTTCTTGAACTCTATCCTCGTCATGTCCCTTGGAATCCCACACAGCGGCAGCTTCAACTTTTCTCCCTTCCACAGTTTCTGCCTCCATCCTCCCGGCTTCTTCACCATCCTCATGATCTCAACGGCAACTGGACCGTGGCCACTTGTTTTTCGTGTTTTTTCAGGAAGGTATACGTACGGAATACTCGGCCTTCCCAATCCGAGTGTCCGGCGGGGGTTGTGGTTCCTTTCAGTTCTTTTGCCGGCTCACCGACGCTAAATAGCGCCTCCAACATAGGCTCGCAGTCTAGATCCAAGTTCACACCTCCTGACACAAGTACCACAGTTTTGTGCCGGGCGCTCTGCTTAGTATACACCCAGACGTCCCCAGACCACCCAATTTATCATCTCCGAAGTCCCGCGGTACAGGCTACTTTCCTCCTGGGAGGTCATTTTCACCACAATAAGTTCAGGGACGACTTGCATAGCCAAAGATCCTACTCACACGCCGGGATGGAGCGTACACCAACGTCCAGCTTCTCATTATGCTCCACCATGAGGTGCTACCCCACTTACGCTCCCGAGTAGTCTAGACTAGACCTATCTGCCGAAAGTTTGTTTAATGACGGAGGAGGGTCAAAGTAGGTGAGTCACAACGTGTGGAGTAAGTGGGTTCCCTGCTTTGACACGACCGGTCTGCTTCGAATGGTATGGACTACTATCTAAAAGGCTGCATGGCGGGGGCACAGCAGTACGTGCGGCGAGGGGAGTACCCAGCGTCGTGGCAGACCTACTGTAGTCTCCTCGTGCATCTGTTGATGTCGGGGAATATCAACCTATTTCGCTTGCTTCGAGTTTTCGAACTTCTAGTACGTATCTAGATTACTGTGCGAAGAGAGGGAAGCCGTTGCCCGCAACTTAACAGACTGCTCTATGCATGGCATTAATGACAACACCGCAATTATGCAGGAGATAGTACCGGGTGAGTGCAATTGGGTTAGGCTTTTCTTGACAAATCAGTGCGACCTCACCTACCGGCGCTATCTCCGATCCGCGGAAATATAATCGCTTCTGTCGTAGCTTGCAGGGCACGCCGGTGGTGCTATCTCTCAGATGATTGGGATTGTCGAATACATATCTACACACGACGGCAGTACGTACTGCGGTGCTGGGTGGTGCCATCTCTCCGACCTCGGTGCGGAAATACAACTAATTTTTTTGTTAAATCATGCCGTTCTTGCTTTCTCCTTCATGCGCAACACGATCTCGGTAGGTATCGCTCTCCCTGCTCTGCCCCCCCCACTTCTTGCCGTCCCAACCCACCTGTGAGCAAGCCGCTGTTGATCCGTTCGGCGGCATTGGAGGACGAGCTTGAAGGACCACCAGATCCGAACGCAATCAATCCCTATTGGGAGGGGAATCGTGAGAGAGTGAGGTGTGCGGCGCGCGAACAGAGCGGGGGCTTTCTTCTTGTCTCCGCGGGCCATTCCGTCCTTCCGGCGGACCGTTGTTCGTGGCAAGCACCGTTCTCTTCGTCCAACTCCTCTGGTTTTTGTTCCAGATAGCAATTGTAAGCAATTCCAAGTCACAGAAAAATTCTTGCCTGCTCATGATATATCGGTGGCTCGCCAGCCAGGTGAACAGTCGTTGTGGAACTCTATTTTTTATTCTTTTCATATTTTTTTTCCCTGGACAGAACGGAGCTGGGAGGTGTGCGGCGCGCGAACAGAGCGGGGGCTTTCTTGTTTCCGCGGGCCATTCCGTCCTTCCGGCGGACCGTTCTTCGTGGCAAGCACCGCCCTGTTCGTCCAACTCCTCTGGTTTTTGTTCCAGATAGCAATTGTAAGCAATTCCAAGTCAGAGAAAAATTCTTGCGTGCTCATCATATGTCGGTGGCTCGCCAGCCAGGTGAACAGTCGTCGTGGAACTCTTTCATAATAGTTTTTCCGTAGACAGAACGGAGCTGGGTGACTTGTCAGCGCAACAGAGCAGAAAGGGGGAGTAATAGGCGTTGCGCTGATGGGGTGCCGCAACTTTCTAGCCGTAACCGGAAGGCCCATCGCCTGGTGAAGAAAAGTAGTTTTGTTGTGCGGGTCTACGGAGTCCCGAAGTTAGTCTGGAGTGAGGCGGCGAAGGTGGAGGGGGGGGTACCGTGGCACGCGGGGGTGCTACAGGGAGCTGAGAGGTTCATGGCCTCTTGGCACAAGGGCAAGGAGGAGGCCAGCCGACAACGAGCCATCAAACGAAGAGACAGCGGGCCCAAAAATAGTCTAGATACGGCACCAATCAACGGGGCGGTAGGGGGGCGGAAGGAAACGGCGCGGCGGGAAGAAAGCAAGCGAGAAGAGACCGACCGCGTGACGTGACATGTTGCGGTCGAATTTCAACGACTAATTTTTCTGTTGCCCTCTCCCCCGTTTGCTGTCGCGTTCAGACTGTCTCTAGGGATATCCCTGTCTCTGTGCGAGTTTGTTTGTGTCCTCGTCTTTGCTTTATTCTGTTTTATTTTGTCTTTTGTTTTGTTTTTTACTGGCACGTACCCCCGCCCCTTCCTTTGGCCGTCGACCTGCCTCCATGTAGTGGGAGGCTACCCCCCCAGGCTGGTGGTGCGGCCGTTCCACTAGTCTAATTATTTATTTTATTTTATTTTATTTGTTTCTGATTATATTTTGTTTTCTTGTATTTTATCGCTCTGCTGACCCTTGGGGTCCATTTTATTTTGGTATACCTTTTCTAGGTACGTTAGCCTGTGACCACGGAAATTGGCCGAGTCAAGTGATGGATTAGTACGGAGAGATTGAGACAGAAGGAGGTACTGGATAGAGAGACCGGGATGGTTTTTAATGTGAAGACAACAACAACAACGCAACACTCTCCTGTTGTGCCGCAACGCCCCAACACTTTTTCGCCGAAGGTCGAAGGTTCGAAGTCCGAAGTTCGCAGGAAAAAAAATTTTTGCTCCCGGAAATCCGTGAACTGTACTGCTGTGGCCCATGCCTCAGCCCATGCGGGGGCTGCAATGCCGATCTCCCCTCCCGGCGTATTGTTTCACAAACTTGCCGTTTCCTCAACACAGACCTGCCCCCTATTTCTCGCCCTCGTGCACAGGCATGGCAGTCATGGGGGGCTCGCAGGCCGCGCTGGTTCTCTTTTCGACTGTCCACCAATCACCAACAACCCGGGCAACGGCCCGGTCCAGCAGTCACGCCGCGTATAAACCTTCAGGTCTTTCAATAGCGCCGTGAGCGTGAGCGGTATGTTGCAGACTGTAGACAGACGCGTTGCTGGTCGAGAGCGTACCGCCGTACACGGAGGCTGCGCGCTACCTTACCCCTGGCCTTGGAACTTGGAATGGCAGTGGCCACCGGCCGCTCAACCATAGTTCATTTACGGGTGAGACTTGGGTGAGAGAGAGTGGGAGATGACATTATCTGTGCGTTTTTGATGCGGCTCTTTTGCCCCTCCTTGCCCGTGTAGCGCACAGGCCCTTGTTCGGGTGTGATTGGATGTGGCGCGCGCTGCTGCGGATATTAACCCACAATCATCGTCTTCGTCTGCCTTTCCCGCTGCAGTGTAATGATCTCTTGTTTGGTGTTATTCTGTTTTTCCAACCCTGGTCAGCTTTTTCCACTAGACTACTGCTCGCTTGTGCATGCGAAAGCTGAGGGCGGGAATTGTTGATTAGGGCATACCTTGTGTGTGTAGCGCACGGCCCTTGTTGATTGGATTTGGCCCGCACTGCTGCGAATGTAGCCTACAGCTATCGTCTTCGTCTACCTTTCCCGCTGTAGTGATGATCTATATTTTGGTGTTTTTCTGTTCTTCCAACCTTGATGCCGTGTCACCATTATGCACTGCTGTCTTGTGTGTGAAAGCTGAAGGCGGGAACGATGTATTGCTGGTGTACCCACATTGTAGTCTAGACTATGACTCCGCGAGCGAAGGAAATAAAGGAACACGTTTTGTGTCCGCTTTTCCGAGGGTGCAACATACAGAACAACGGACACCCCAAAGTCCTCTCTCATCATCTTCCGCTACACCTTCTCCTTCTCTTATGCAAGGTCTGCATTTTGTCTGGAAATGCAGAATCAGGTGGAAACTCCGAAACTCCCAGGCAAACACAACAGAGAGCAGCTTGAGATCAACCCTACTAGATCCGGAGGTGGAATAGTTTTTTGTTGAAAAACGTAGCTGCAGTAGGCTCGTGCGTTGCTACCATTGGCCCGTTTACTACACAGCAGTATTACAATATAATGAGTCCCTCGCCGGCGAACCAGGCCACAACAGATAGTAGGCGGGTGGTGTCCCAAGGTGCAACTCACCGCCGCGCTGGCTCAGCGTGGCGGTGAGGATGCACAGACGGTGGTAGTGGGGAGAGGTGTGTATGGATACTGTTCCCGCGGCAGTAATGCAAAGCGGCAAACTGCACCTGGCAACCACCGTCGCGGGAAGCGTGGCGAACGAAGCTGGAGTAGTACAGAGATTCGTAAACACCACGCCAGTAAGCACTGCTCGCGGGAGAAGGGAGACAACCGCGGGCACCGCGGGGAGTGAATGCTGCACCTTTTTCGTCAAAACACCACAGGCAAGAACCGAGCTCTGCAGAGATGGATGGATGCAAGGAAATTCGCCGCTCGGAAAATATGGAAGAAAGCACACCCGCAACGCGAGGTGNAAGCGTGGCGAACGAAGCTGGAGTAGTACAGAGATTCGTAAACACCACGCCAGTAAGCACTGCTCGCGGGAGAAGGGAGACAACCGCGGGCACCGCGGGGNGTATGGATACTGTTCCCGCGGCAGTAATGCAAAGCGGCAAACTGCACCTGGCAACCACCGTCGCGGAAAGCGTGGCCCACGAAGCTGGAGGAGTAGAGAGATTCGTAAACACCACGTCAGTAAGCACCGCTCGCGGGAGAAGGGAGACAACCGCGGGCACCGCGGGGAGTGAATGCTGCACCTTTTTCGTCAAAACACCACAGGCAAGAACCGAGCTCTGCAGAGATGGATGGATGCGAGGAAACTCGCCGCTCGGAAAAGACGGAAGAAAGCACACCCGCAACGCGAGGTGGACCGAGAGAGACACGAGACCGCAGCGGCCGTCAAGGCGGCTGCGAAGAAGAAGGCACGAGAGGGCGACCTATCGTTCGGCACGTTCAACGTACGCACGCTCGCCTACAGCGGTAGGAACCCCATCGGTCACAACGTGATGACGGTCATGCAGATTGTTCCGCGACCGGCTGTGATGTCATAGGACTTCAGGAGGCCCGACGAGAGGGGCAAGGTACAATTGCACACGACGGGTACGTGATCATCTGGAGTGGCGCCCGTGCTGGCACCAAGGACAAGAGGGGCGTACACCGGGTGGGCATAGCGATCAAGGAGGCCATGTGGGAGAGTGTGGGCGAGGAAGGTAGGACGGTGGAGTGCATTAGCCCGAGGCTGATGAAGGTGCGTCTACAAATTGGCCGCACCTGCGGAGTAACTTTCGTGGTGGGGTACGCCCCCACGGAAACTGTCCGCACCACCGCGGGCGGTGATGTTACCGCCAAGGACTCCTTCTGGACTGCTCTGGACGAAGCGATCCGGCAGGTTCACAGCCGTGACCATCTCGTGGTGCTAATGGACGCCAACGCACGCACTGGTAGGAGGCGAGACGGGTGCTGCGATGCCAAGATTATGGGCGCGTACGGACGCGACATTATGAACAACAACGGGGAACGACTCCTTGGACTGGCGTCAGACAACCAACTCTCCCTGACCAACACCTACTTCCGGACACCGAAAGGTGGAGTGCAGCACACATTCCAGAGCTCCAACAAGGGGAAGGAGAAGTACCGCCTCGACTTCATCCTCATGCGTCAGGCGGACCGGCGTTTCGTGCGTAATGTCTCCGTCAAACGTGTCGACTTCAAAGACTCTGACCACAACCTCGTGCTTACGACTGTCCGCCTCGCCCCCCGTGTCGCACCCAACCGACGAGTGCGGGGGAACAGCGGAAGCAGCCGGATCCGTATCGACCTCGAGCGGTTGAGGAAGGACAATCACCTACGGGTCGCTTTCCAAAACAGGGCCTCCAGCCGCCCTCCGCCCACGGCGCTCAGGCGGCCAACGGGAGCGACCACCGCCGAGTTGACGGCTACGGTGATGTCGGCCGCTGCTGAGACCGCGCCGCTGGCGAGGTGCGCACGAGGGCAGAGAGGCTGGTACACGAG